ATAAATGATTAAAAATACATTTTAACCAATAGACACTGCACAATGAAATATAAACTTGCGGCCAAAGGTGAAACCCCATGTTAACACCCAAATGTTTTATATTTACACCTAATAACCTTAAGAATTATTTCTCCTAATCAACACCCTTAAGTATAATAAATTCCCGAATAATCCAAAATTTAATGGAAGAATAATGGGCCCCGCCCTCACATTTCCTATATAAACAACCCCTCCATGTATAACTCTTTCAGCCAGAGCTAACCTTCTGCGGCGAACCCACAGTGATCTTTCTTCCTATCATCACAGTTGAGTTGAATCAGTCTCTAATGGCGGAAGCGGATACCGTGCTTGCCTCTATCACTGTCCGCCGCTCATATCTCAAAAAACTTGTCTTTCCAAAAGCTGCAATGCAGATACGTCGTCATCTTTTGCCTGCGATCTTATGGGGGCAAACTGGACAAGCTCATGCGATATTGAAAGGTGGAAATCGCGAGCCCCTCCCTGTCACGTTCTCGCTCGGACGAAAACGTGATCGCCTCGTTCTCCTGGGAAGTGGATGGAAAAAGGTTGTTCAGAAGCTTGGTTTGAAGGAAGGCGACAAGGTGATCATTTCTTTGGATGATAGAGCAAGTTCCACTTATTCGATATTCTCGCCCAGCCTGCAAAGTGGACATAAGTCTGTCATCATGAAATTTGACCTGAATAAATCACCGGAGGCATCAGATGAAGGGGAGATGGATTAAATTAATGTTGTAGTGCGCGCGCTCCAATAATTAACAACATATTCCCGGTTTGGAAGTTGTTTATCTAGACAGTCTTTTTATTTTTTTTTTGGGCAAAACGAAAAGTTAAGCCCAAAAAGGCAAAACCATTGGCATAAAAAAAAAAGGCAAAACCATAAGTTAAGCCCCTAAACTAACCCGAAAATGGCCATTAATTCCCTGGACTTTAATTGATTCAGTTAAGCCCTTGAACTCTGGGATCAAATCAATTAAGCCCTTCTTCTTACGCTATTAAGCCCCTAGACTTTAATTTTTAAAATAAATTGCTTAAGAAGAAGGGCTTAATTGCTTTGATCCCA